ATGCAAGATCAAAGAAGCAGCATGGAAAACGTGAAAAAAAAATAATTCAAAATTGGAGATATGGTGCGAATCAGTAAGTTCAAAAATGCATTCGCGAAAGGTTATACAGCAAATTTTACTACTGAACTTTTTAAAGCTGTGAAAACTTCACTTTCCAATCATTCAAAACGATTTTATGGATTTTTTTGTGGTGTTACTGCCTCATTTGGACGTCCACTGCGTTGTTTGATTGTTGTTTTTGATGGAGTGGAGTCCTTATAACACTTTTGAAGCCATTGCTACGCTTGAACAGTACTTTTAAGACTCGTTCTATGCACATTGGGTATAGGAAGATCATGTCCTGTTGAAAAATGTATCTTTATGTTTGCACACATATATAGAGAGAGTTCATAGAGGCAAAATTTGAACACGAAATTGATTTTGATCCATTGTTTCGAAAATAACAAAAGTAGTGTCGCTCTTCACACAATAACTCACAAACTTATGAGTAGAATATCACGAAATTTCAACAACTTTCTGTTGAAGGTTAGTACTAACTGAAAAAGCGGTGAATGCTGCAATAAGACTAGCGCCATCTATGTGTTAGACCCGAGACTTCCAGCCTATGTACTTTTTCAGTGGAATAAAAATCTCTAAATAAAGTATATTTTGATTGAATGAGTAATCACAGATGAATTAATTACATTTGTGGTTTTTATAACTCACTTTGAAAGGGTGTTTATATTTTAAAAGAAAGTTTTATGATCTATATTCAAAGCTCTCCCTCTGAGAATGTTGCAAACGTTTATCTAAAACAAATGATTGCTTCTCAAATAACTATTATTAATCCGCTGTCTTTGCATCTTTGAAGTTTTCAGAACAAATCTTGTTGAAGATGCTTTCACTATATACAAGGTTATATATCTAATACATCTATATATTTTTAGGTATAATGGAGCCGGAAAACTTTGTAAAAACTGAACATCCTGGACTCACATCTGAAGATTATTTTTATGAAGTAACTTGGGATCCACCTAAACCTACTGATAAGAAAATTACCAATTATACAGTATATTGGTGTGATAATGACCGAGATCGACCATATCAATGCGAGGTAAGTTGAACTTGTTGATTCCGTAAGTGAAATATATGAAATTACTAAAATAAATAAAGAAGTTCTTCTTGATAAATATATTAGCAGAATTGCCCCTTAATTTCCAAACCTTACTTTTGTATGTTCCGAGTCATATGGGTTAATATTAAACTCAATTTTAATACTACACTTTCATTGTGTAGTAAACTCAATCTGTATATTTTATATTTGTATTATTTATTGTTATTTCAAGTGTGTATGTGTGCTTGCGCGAGTTTGTGTGCATGGACATTCCACCAAGGACCTCAATAATCAGAACAATTATTTTTAGCAGGATGGTCTGCTGAGAACCTGTTTAGTTCGAATAGAAAATCTTGATACTTCATCCGTTTTTCTTTCTCTTTTCGGCCCATATTTGTCTCACCTGAAACTGAAAACCACCACGAATATCATCTTATTTTGATGGTCAAGAAGAACTACATCAGACTTATTAGCGTGTGTGAGCTTGTGGGAAATGGGTAGTTTCAATAAATTCGCCACTTCTCGTTCCCCACAACGGATTCAATATCCTCGGGAGCGTAGGGCAACACCGGTGTCTCGTCAGTACCGTAAAAGTGCCGTAGGTGGCAATAAAGCACTCTTAGGGCCGCGTTACGTCGATGGATATAAGCCGAGACCGCATATGTTGGAGACGTTACCCCAGTTCAGGCAGACAATGACGTCATCACACCAGTTAGGTTGCCTCTCAGCTCGCCAGACAAGGCAGACAGACCACCCAGCCAACCAGAGTGCTCCAAATTGTCACATGGTGCCCTCAAACTTACACAGATCGCCAGCCAATCAGAGAGCCACTTCTGCATCTCGGAACATCGTGTTTACCCAAGCGGGAGATTTGAACTTTCTGTGGACATAAATAATTCAAGCAGACAGACCACCCAGACACATACAAGTTCATTAGGGAAAGGAGACTAAGGTGTTGAAGACACCATCCTGGCACTCCATGATGAACTGACCAGCTAACTCGACCTGAGGAAAGCGAAGGTCATGTGCTTTGATATCGAGGTTTTCAATGTTGTTGAAGAAGATCCCATGCATTGGCTTATACTTGTGTTGTCACAGAAGTGAAGCAATCTCTGTGGCTTTGATTTGGGTCTTCTGGTGGCTTTGATGTGGGTATTCTGCTAGACGGGTTCCAACTCGGTGACACAGTTTTAATTACCTTATTCAGTGTCGAACACTAAACCGAGTTCATCCACCGCTCAGCAGCTGCTTTATATTTGTTTATTTTGTTATTGTCCAGACTAAATCGATATCATAACTCTATAATCTGTTTAAAAACGAATAAATGCTTTACTCTTCTAATCTTTCTCTAATATTTGTTGGTTTTGATTTGTTTGCAGGGTATCCTCAATTGGACAGTACTGCCAGGAGATACGTTCAGGTACAACCTATCCTTGGCAAGAAAAAAAATTTATCAATTTGCTATATCGGCGAACAGCGAGACTAGTACTAGCGGCATGACATGGGCTGAGTGTACCATAATCGCAAATAAAAATGTAGGCAAAATGAGAAATGTTTGGATAACTCAAGTCGGATCAACATTTATTGAACTGGGCTGGAAGTTAGAGTGTACAGATGGAATTAGAACAGTCACAGGTTACGTTATTGAGTACTGTCCAATAAAATCTACTCAACATAAAGATTGTACGGAAAATAAGAGACGAAACGTAACAATTGAAGGAAATAAAAGTACACAGTCTGGTAGGGTAGAAAATCTGAAACCATACACAATGTACCTTATCACGATTAGTGTGAAGTTGAGCAACAGCACTTATAGCCACTCTAGTGATACTATGCGTAACACCACTTTAGAGGCAGCCCCATCTACTCCTCCCATAGATATCAGCATATACAATGTGACAAATTCGTCCATATCTTTGAAGTGGTCCCCCCCTCTCGAGAAAAACGGGATACTGAAATACTATCGCATTTATTACAGAAATGAAACCCAAGATGTTGATAAAGATATGTATAATTACACTCTTACTGGTTTGAAGAGCTACGAAAATTATTCAATATCCATGCAAGCATGTACAACCGAGTGTTCCGAAAAGTCGCCAAAGCAGTATAAAATGACCAGAATGTGGTTACCAGGAGTCATAGACAGACCGAACGTTATTTTCCAAAATGACACAGTCACCACGATAGGTTGGAAGAAGCCTGATCCCCCTAGAGGTGAAATAAACTATTACCAAGTTAAATTTACCCACAATATTTTGGAAAATGTCAGCATGGAACCTGATGTGAACGTGACAAATGCCCAAAACTACAGCATCGAAGATTGCGGAGAATCTGGCAAGTATAATACGTTCTTCGTAACCGTACGAGCGGTGAACATCATTGATGGTGAACATAAAGCTGGACCTTGGAGTGAACCGCTGGAGTCTTACTGCAGACATTATTCTCCTTTGCTCTATATCATCATCAGCGTTTCTTTGATATTCGTTGCAGCAGGATTATTTTTGGGCTTCAGAAAGTAAGTGTTTTTTTTTTTATTATTCACGGTTGATTCGGACAAAATTTGATTGTTTTTACCGTTTTGTTACTATTTTTCTCCAACATAGATCCCTTGTACACCAAGCTCAATCAGTTAACATGTGCGTAGTCCTATGATTTTCTAAATTTTACTTTTGAGCAAACATCTCCATGTATTCAAGGTAATATTCCATTCCAATTTGATTCGACTGTTTATAAAACAATAATCCTACCACACTTTGATTACTTTGCTACTTTGATATCATTACTAGACGGTAATTCTATCTCTACTCTACAAAAATTACAAAACAGAGGAATGCTCTTGTTATTAAAATGCCATAAATATACTCCTATATTATCAATGATTAATATTCTGAATTGGATGACAGTAAAAGATAAATTACAATATTTTTCTAGGATATTCATATTCAAAATACTCACTGGAAAAGCACCACATTACGTCAATGAGTTTATTATATATAACCATTAGATACACAAATACGATACAAGAGTAAGAGATGACTTGGTTGTCCCACGAACTAACCTTGCAAGAACAATGAATTCTATTTTTCACAGAGGACTCTTGGACTATAACAAGCTTCCTAATGAAATTAAACAAAGTAACACTCTTCAACTCTTCAAACGCTCCTTATCTCAATATCTACGGGCACAATACTATTCCAATTGAGTTGTTCATCATTCTTCTCTCTATTAATCTCTTCACCATCTACTACTGCTATGTTTTACCCAATTCATTCCATTATATAGAGTCTTATATATTTCAGTTTTTTTGTAATTCTGTTTAATAACTGATATACTTGTATAATATTTATGTATATTAGGATATCTATTTCAAGTAAATCTATTTCTATTCTATATTCCTCGACCTATGATCTCGATATTTCAACGAATAATTTAACACTCAGCTAGCTCATTTGTTTGCAAAATTTCAAAAATTATGGATTTGCCCATTTTGTCTTGATTGATCTCACTTCACATGGGGATATTAGGAATATAAACAACTTGTACTTCAAATGTCATGCTTTATTCAGGTTGTATGCTTGGTGCAAAGTGATGCAAGACGTTGAAGTTAAGCTTCCTCCTGGTTTGGCTCCGGTTGTAGAACAACGTGAAATAGTGCTATGGGGATCTGAAAAACATCCTGACGATATTGATAGGAGTTCTAGGGCAGATGAACAGCTTCTGTTGGAGAAAATTTCTGATATCCGTACAAGTGCGGAATCTAGCGGCTGTAGTTCTGGACACGAGAGCATCACTTCCTCCCTCGATTCTACACACATGTCGATAGATTCCGGAACTGATCAGCCAAGGAATATGAAGGAGGAGAATAGAAGGAATTCACTTCGACAACGGAATGTATCTAGCAAAGGTGAGTTAACGCTTTTATGTATACTCCAGGGTCTTTCATTAAGCGCCTTTTTTCTGTAAATTTAAATAAAACAAAGTGTGTGGGGGATATCATCGTTTGAAAGATCTATTGATGCCATTATGTGTGGAATATAACATGGTTATGTTGACTTTGAGAACCCCTGTAGTTCGTGGCTGATTCTACGACTTGAGAAAACCTCACAAGTGAAAGTCTAACGGGGTATAATCACACGATCTAGATGGCCAGTTCACATGGCCATGCCCTCAAATCCAATATGGAATGAGCTGTGTGGCACGTAGCGCCATCCTACTGAAACCACATGTCGTTGGTATCCAGATCACCCAGTTCAGGCCAAAAATAGTTGGTAATCATCGACCTATAGTGCTCGCCATTGACAGTGATGGCCTAGCCAACATCTTTCTCAAAGAAATATGTTGAAGATGATTTTTCAATGAAAATTATGGTCAGTTGCCAACTGCTCTAGAGCCCATCCAACGAACACATGTCTATGGTCGTTTACCTTCACTTCCTCGGTCAGTTGAATTTTGTATGTGTGCCGGCCCAAGTCACGACGCAAAATTCGCCAAGTTGTGGTCTGCGAACGGTCGAATTCTTGTGAGCGACGCGGAATCGACTGCTTCGGATTCTCTTGCACACTCTCACAGACAGCAGCGATGTTTGCGACAGATCTTACGTTTCGTCGACGTACAGGTGTTGGTCGATTGTTTACTGAGCTAGTGGACTCAAATTTACCCACCACATTGTGAATTGTCTTTTCGGTAGGGCGATTATGGCGACTCATTCACATTTTTAAATTCTTATTTTTGTTGTTGTAAATTGCTTCAGTGAAGTATATTTCTATTTCAATTGATAAGTAAATGAATAGTGGCATTTAATACACTTTAACGGATCAGTATACTGGAAAACAATTATTTATATACCTAAATCAGAACAAATTTTTAAGATTTCTAGCTTATAAATTGAATATACCTTTAACTGAAAACACACTTAGTGAAGTTCGTGCTATAACAGAAATAGTAAAACTGAGTACTCGTAGAGTTTGTGCAGACATCAGATTTCTTCATAAGATTTTGAATAACAATATTGACTGTCCATACCTCTTGTCCAAAATTGGTTTACATGTTCCAGCCAGAGTAACTCGAAACACTCAGACGTTTGCAATTGATTTCCATAGATGCAATTATGGAAAACACTCACCATTACCTAGGATTGTATTGAATGCGAATGATATTCAAGTAGATTTGTTCAATATCTCTGAAAGTAGCTTGAAACGAAGTTTGCCATCACTTCTAAAAAACAATACATAGATGTGCACATGTATATATATAAATGTATCTCACTGCAATCATTCATTGCCTTTGGGTTTAATCTTAGTTTTTATTTCTCTTAGGTTTAATTTTAATATGGATCTCAATCATAAGTATTTATGTACACCTTTATAAAAACATATTTGTATATTGGGTGCTGCCCGTTAGTTGAATAAATAAATAAATAAATCAATGTAAAATGTAAGTAGAAAATAGGTACTGAACAAGCTGGAGAAGATTATGTTGAGTATCAATGTACGTGAACTGTATTTTCTGTGATATGAATTTGAATGTTGTCCCCTTGCATGATTAGGGCAAATGGAGAGAGAGAGCAATTATTTTGAATTGCACTGAACTTTGCACTGCTCGCTTTGGGAATTTCAGCGTCTCGTTTCGAATAACAGTTTTCCGTTTTCACGTCGCGATGGCAATATTGTTACTCTGAAGACATTTCACAGCAACACCCATTTCTTGCATCACTCAGGCAGCTTGTCCAGCATAAAAAATAGGAATTTAAAGCCTTAGAGAAGTTTGCCAACATATATAGTGCGTTTTTTAAGTTAAGATTGACTTGATTGCTTTTTTGATTTTTGTGATATTTTTGTATTCTTTTCAACTTTTTTTGTCCAACAGGTTATGTTTTGCCTGATGCTATTCCGACAAACAACTGGGGATCAAAGTTGGCCCCGGCACCAGCAGAGAACTACTGTGTGCTAGGCGTTGATCCTACCAACAATTCAGAGGGAAATACTCCATATCAGCCGATAACAGATATCAGTTCCAGCTTATCGTCGCCTTACATATCATGCGATCTTCCGCCAAACATACCTCCCTCTTTGCTGTTGACAGCAGATCTAATCAAAACCCCTAACCCTGGATATGTGCCATATTCTGCCGAAGAACCTGCTAGTAAAAATACTGGTTATGTCGTAGCGGGTATTACAAAAGATCTGTTGGGAGGCGACATTTGTCAATCGGTAATAAATCCGAGCACCACTAAAATCGGTGAAAAGCCTTACATGAAGCTCGGAGAAATCTCCACCGTCGTCAAGGGCCCCCAAACTTTGTGGCAACCCCCTACAGATATGACAATGAATAAGGCGGGGTATGTAAGCGTGGGAGATGCGTGTCCGCCAAAAGCCATGAAGGAGGTTACCAAGGGTTACGTTCCGCATAGGCAGTTTGAAGCTAAAGCTTTGAAAGAAGATTAATTGCTACATTCAATTTTATCTCGCAGTGTAGTTTTATGGAACCTTCGTGAATATGATGGACATAAATATTTTATGGTGATGTTAAGTGTAAGTGGTATCTTCAGAAAGTGTCATTTAGTTTACTTGTTAGTGCTTCAATTTGGCACTGAATATTATGTTGTTTTTCTGAATTTCTATTACTATTGGCACTCTCTAGGCAGCACAGAATTTGGTAAGGTATACAGGTGAAGAAATTGGGATGTTATCTGTCGAAATACAAATTTGGTTATAAATTGAAGTAAGGTATTATTTATTTTCGCGTAAGTTTCGTTTTTTCATCTAGTGTATCTGCCAACATCATCATCCGTCAATAGTGTGTAATTTTCTGGTAAAAACACAACTTGAACAGTTCCATAAATATTCTGTTTTTCAGTTAAGAATTCAGATCTGTGATAATCGTAATTTATTTAATTATTTTCATCAATTTTATATTCATTGATTTTATTCTGCAACTGTATCTGTATATACCAAGATATTTTTTTGTCTCTTATTTTCATTACTTCAGAAAAAATTTGAATGAAAGATAGGTTTAACTTTTTATTATTTTTTAAGTTCAAATTGAAGCAGACCAGCTGCAGTGGGTGCAGAATTTTTTAATATCGTGTATTATTCTGTCATTGTTCAAAATTGACTTGAAAGTTTATATTTTGTTGATTCGTGATATATGATAAGAAATTCAATACCACTATTGGTCTAATCCCGTAAGAGATAAAGGAAACAAAAGACCAAAGAAAAATGGAAAAATTAAAATCACTTTTATTTCAAATCTGATGGAAACAAAATCAATTATTGACTATCCAAAAATCTAAGAGTTATTCAAAACAGAAAGTTCATGTGGATGATCTTTCCCAATATTCATTCATTAACATTTTTACAACTCAGATACAATTATAAATTATGTATGCATTTCGAAACTTGCTCAGTGAATCATTCGTTAATGGAATTGTTGTTGTTTTACTAATTAATATCCTAGGAAGGTCCAAGACATACTTCAGTTTGTTTAAAGTGTCAACCTATAGAGATTGACGAATTTGCTTTGTAACTGAAATGGCTTTCGTGTGTTTTGGATTTTTTTATTTTTCGGCGTTAATGGATTAATTATTTATTTAAGAATATGGTGAATATTTTGGATTCATCAGTATAAATGAGTCCCAAAAATGTGCCTGCCCCGCTAAGGACCGAATCAGGTTTTTAAAGTTCGGTAGAGCCGTACTCTTACCATCTGCCCTAAAAGACCACTCACCACGCAGACTAATCGGCTTCGTTAAGAAGCTGGGTTTAATTGGTCGAGTGTAAATAGGTGTGAGCCATACTATAAACCCTTGCGGGTTGCGGTGGAGGGTCAAATAGACCCACTCACTCTGGACCTAACCTAACCCAAAAATGTAGTTGCTTTGCAGTGAAAAATAGAGGACTGAATCTCATTCGGTGGTTGATGTCGAAGCTTGGCTTTGCAGTCAGCCTTGGGAGCCTCGTTAATCTTTGATATTCGTGGGTTGAGACTTCTGCCAATCTCATAAATTGTGTTTTCTTGAAAGGAGATGTCATCAAAACGTTTTTTCTCAATCCACACAAGTGACTTCATCACCAAAATAAAATTCCGTACATGCAGAGCCTCACTTTTACTTGAACTTTCAGCTATTTTGTATGGTCTCCTTGATGAAATAATAGAGCCTGAATTCACTGCTTTTTAAATCAGTTGAAATAAATTATTTCAAGATCTGAAAGTAATTTATTGTTATCATTTTTTCTAGTGCCTCGTTTCAGACCTCAATCGTATTCAATACATTTCTCTAAATTGAAGAAACTTCCATATATATTCAAACTGAAGTTATCCTGAATAAAATTTTCCTATGTTCCCTAACTTCATGAAGGTATTTACAGATGCACGTTGTGAATTTGATACTCATAGGTTTTTTTTAAGTATGTGTAACCAAACAATGTCTTTATCTCAGACTTGTCTTCTTATCTGAAACGTTTGATATTGAGTCGTCAAATTAACATGAATTGTCTGACTTTTGTTATATTTTATATCATGTGTTATATTATATTTTCTATTCTATACTGTGTACATACATGCATAATTTTGATTGTCCGAATATTTTGTATATATTATTTTTTTATTGAGTGTGACGGTAAGGCATTGACGCAAAGTTAACTGTTTGTGCCTTAAATTTGACTGAATTATAATGACGAAGTGAAGCCATGTGGTTTGATATTTATAGAACACTTTTAACTTGCCAGATTATATAATAGAGTAAATTGTTTGCCGTTCCATAGCTATTTTCCCAATTGGGGATTCATAATGATTGTAGCACTGGTATTAAAGCATATGAAAACTTTAATAGAGTAACTTTGAGAACACAGAAATCACGTGATTCTTTCGGATACTAGTTCAAAATTTGCTGAAAGCTGATTATTTGATGTTCAACAAGAACTAGTTTCAATTTTATTTGTTCAAATCTGAAAGTGATGAGGAGCTATTAGAAAATCTCTTCAAATATATAGATAGTGTTTTCTTGATCCAACTTAGAATCATAAATACAAAGTCATGTTTTTCTTCTCCTCCGATACCAATTTATGTGGGTTGAATACTGCGATAAATCTTTGTTTGTCGAACTAGGTTGACAACTATTGAACACTGTTCGTGCTTGTATCTACAGATTGTGACGAGTTTGGCCTTCAAATAGTGCTAACTAGCTTCTCAAATACTTAACTTTGGTTGGAAAATGGTAATTGTGAAAGCAACCCGGCAATGTCGATTAACTAATGCAACCTGTCAGCATTATAAAACAGTCTAGGTTATAACCACCTCCAGATATACTTGTCAAGTGTCACTTGTTCTAACCTGACTTCATGCTCTAACCGTTTTAATCTTTTTGTTAACAATCTTTCACTTTATCATTCAATCATATAAACATAAAGATGCCTCCAACCATCCTAGTAGATAATCAATCTTTGTTCCCTTACTGTTGAGTTCTATTCTAATGTATACGTCATAAACAAAAATGTTTGTGAATTGTTGATATTTTTGAAAAACATATAGTTCAGATATATTTTTTATGAGCGTTGCAGTCTGTCCACTTGATTTCAATCCTGCAAAGCACTGTGAAGAAATAACCTCCAAATCAGTGAGTGAACAAGTCATTCATTATATTTTACAAATTATTAAAACTAGTTCTTGTTGCATGATAAAATTATTCCCTTACCTTTGCTACAATGAAATTATATTGATTGAATGTAGATTGTATGCCCCCGTTTGTGTATAGGTTGATCTTCCTGATATTTTGGCAGCATACTTAATCAAATTGGCTGAGATGTTTCGATATATGTTGTATATTTAATGTGGTTGGGATTTTTCGAAATTTCGTGAATTTTTTTTAACACCAGATCTTTATATTTCTAATATTTGTGACCTCGAGTGCCTATTCTGAAAATTCATGTGAAGTCTTTAACTCTTTTAATTATCTTAAATTTACTTTTTGGTACTGTGCAATACTCGAAAAAGTTTGTGATTTTTATTTTGATTATGGGCTGTGATGGATTTCATTTTAAAAGATCTGGTTGAGAAATACAATGACTGGGTTACAATATTTCTATTTTCTGAACAATTGTTGAAAATAATAGAAGTTACTTACAGTAGAGACTTTATGTATTATGTAATTCATTTTAATTCCCTCCTAAATTTTATCACCTCTTATAATGATCATGTGATCAGATTTGACGATTCATTTCTCAGAAATCAATGAAACGAAAGCAGCACATATGGATTTTGCTATTTATTGGTTCAGTATCGGAAATACTATATTATGGTCTGTATCAAAATAAGTTCAATAACGTGGTTCATTGATCTAGATCTAGACTATTATGACCTCTTATTCATTCTTAAAAATTGTCGCAGATTAACTAAAGTCTAACTAAGTTTATGAGTAAGTAATATGATAAAAATTTGGTTGAAATATAAAATTGTTTTAAAAACTAATCAACCATAAGGCTGCAGTGGACAAGTCAGATGACTCCCAAGTAGTAGAAGAAAAAACCACCCACAAAACCTCTTCAACACGATTAAGTTCAACAGGTGGCATCTGAGGTATAAACCGAAAAACTCACAGTTTATAATTTTTCATCATATACTGTTCCCTTACTGTCATAAAAATACTTTTATCATAAACTTAATTTGAATAACTACACCAGAGTCATTAGGAAATACACCTCCCAAAAAGAACATTTAAATAAACAGAAACAATGGAATGAATATCAAAAGTATAAAATATATAAATACATAAAATTAATAACCAATGCTCGAATCCATAAAACAAATTTGATATAAATATCAAATCTATTGGTATAGGGTCACGAAGAAACATCCTCTCAGTATCTCAAAGGTGCGAACTCATTTCCTCCTTTTCATAAAAGAGGATGTATGCATCTCGACTCACAAGCGATTTTGGTGAAATTGGTGACACGCGTGAATCATTGTATTCATGCCACGTGCCACTGAGGTGTCTGCAGTATGCTGTGTAATGTCAGCTGTGAGTAGACCCACTGTTATTCGAAAGTGCATATCGATTATAACAACAAGTAGACACATTGTCTGCTGTAAAATTGCTCATATTCAATCCTTCTAGAGGAAATTCGATGGCACCATTTAGTTTGTCTCTAAATATTTCCGTTGGAGACAATTTTTTCAAATGAATTACTAAAATTGGGAAAACTTATGGATTGATAGGGACTTTATGAATTTTCTTCCTGCCTTGCACCTCGAACAAGTCAGTTTTTCATCTCCATCCAAAGTTTTTTTGAAGGAATCCAATCATTGCGACAAACTTAATTGAACAGTTCTTTGTGATACAGAAAGAGAAATTTCAGAATTGATCGAAGGTTACTGATGAATGTCCACAGTGTGTGCATGCACTTCATCGTGGATTTTAATTGACCAACGAAATTATTTACAAACTTACAGTTATATGTACTTAAACAAATCAGCCGTGACTCTTGTGCTTTTTCGCTGTCCCTCAATTTTTTGTCAATCTCCAGTTTCGGTTTCATATTATTTCTTTTAACGTCCCCATGTAAACCTTCTGAAAGATAAAGAAGGAATTCCTGGCCGTCTCGATGGGTAGGACCCATCATGAATCGAGGGGCAAATCTTTTGAGTCTGACTTTTTAAGGAGACTGTATTTACTACTCTATCAAATGAATCTTCTAACCACAATTGTTTGATGACTTCTGCGAACGCTTTGATTAAAGCCCCCTCTCTCCATACTAGAAGTATTAGTATTGATATCTTTCATGTATTATTCATCGTTTTTGAAACATTGCATTAACCATCTCATGTTTGATTAACATTGGATTAAACTGTTCATGAAGAATGATGTGGATCTTCATAAGAATATCAACAGTGACAGGAAGACTCAAATAATTGGGTCTACATTTTTTAGGGGTCCATTTCAAAAACTTGAGCGGAGGATAGGTATTTGAAAGATGGATGGCATGATGTCGAAGATATTATCAGGGGGTATTTCAACATCTTCCTAAGCTGACTCAGTTTCAATTCTTCAACTCTTTTCTTGATGAAAATATTACGTTAACTAAATTCTGGAACAAACTAAATAGAAAATAATCTGAGACAGTATTTACAGTAATATGGAGACTTGGAGTGAAAATATTCTGGTGGGCGTCATTTGAAAAAACAAAGTTGGCGTGATTTCTTATAAACTGCAACGATTTCCAAAGATGATCTCAGACGAGCATTCCAATTGCCTTCAGTAATGCGTTTGTTTCGTCAATACATTTTGTGAAACAGAAATTATTCCGATATTTTACTTTTTTGAACACTTGAATTACAATGGGGGTCATGAGACTCAGAAGAAAACCTTGAACTTCGGAAATGAGCCATTTTAGTGTTTTTGTTAAATTGATCAATACTTAGCGAAAATCCATAATAAATTTGCTAAACATATTTTACTGTGTAAGATTTTCATGAAAACGAGTTATTCAAACAGGCATTTTGTTATATACTAGCTTGCTTGGTAGTTGTTTTGTACAAAAGTTGTACAGTAAACTGTATTCAATAATTTTTTTTCTTGTGGTCTTAGCATTGATTTCATGGTTACTTCAATTGTTTCGGTATCCCAGAACATATTAAATTAAATCTAGATTAGTTACATTTTAAAATCATTTATTCTATTTATACATTATGTATGTATATGTCATGTTCCTTTCTCCTTCATTATAAATAAAAAATATATTTATCGATTTATAATTTTCCATTTTTTTCATATTGCACTGAGATATATCTTCGATTAGGAAGACTACAACTAGGATTTTGAGTATTGAACTAGAATAGAATAATAGTAAAGTGAATAAACAAAACCCTGTGTTGGTGCAGGTCTCAAATTCGTCCTATTTTTTCCTACTTTTTAGTAGGAAAAAGTCGCACTTTCAGTTATTTTGTCCTATTTTATTACAGGACACTTACAGAGCTAACAAAAACAAAGTTTTATCATAGCAACCAAACATACATTTGCCCAAACCACAAAGTGGTAAAACACTTTGTATTTGTAACTAATGTTACTGCAGTTTCCTACTTCAAAGACATTTTCAAAGGAATACAATAAACTGGAATAATCAACAATGTACACCTTTATATACCTATACAACCAATGTAGGTAATAACAGATGGTCCTTAATGACTTTATTACCTCAATTTCTTTTATCTGTGACAATGCGAGTAGGCCAGGACAATTTGGTCATGTAGTAGGTTACATCTGCAATGCTTATGCTTATGAATTTTCAAGGATTCCAAATAATTGAGTTTGCAACCCTTCCTTGCATAGTACAAAATCCCGTATCATTTAGATTCGGGAACTTGTGGTTTCATCCCAAGGAATGGTTTGAGGACCTTTCATTTACAACTTACCTTTTTGAGAAATTACGGCAACATTGTCCCCCACATAAACACTATTATACTCCAGACACATGAAAACTACTGATTTCTCCATCTTGTCCACTTTATCCTTGGCATTAAAAAAGAAATTACATAACCTGCCAGGTGGCCCGAATGCCACTTCGTTTTTTCTGAAAAATCCCCCAATTGTCTCTGTTATCTTACAAAAATATGTTAATCTTATGAATTTCTTGATTTTAACTTATTTATTTTGGCAAAAGACTAGAGACAATTGCGAGATTTTTTAGAAAAAACAATGTGGAAGTGGCATCCAGGCCACATGCCAGTTTATCTAATCTCCTTTTCAATGCCAAAGATAAAGTGGACAAGATGGAGAAATCTGGAGTTTATAAGCTTAAGTGTCAGGGGTGTAATGGTGTTTACGTTTGTACAATGTGGCCATCATTTCTCAAAACGGTATGCTGAATACGAAAGGTCCTCCAACTAGGTAAAAATGATTCGACATTTTCAAACCATTCCTCAGAATACAACCACAAGTAAACGACTCTAAACAATACGGAAAGTTTGCACTATGCAGGCAAGGGTTGGAAACTCACTTATTTGGAATCTTTGGAAATTCATTATAACATAAGCATTGCGGATGTAACCTACTAATTGACCAAATCGACCCGGTCTTCTCGACGCCTCTGTAGTTTCCACCTGTCCAGTTCAACAGCAGAATGATTTTCAAATCAGCAAATTGATAATTCATATGAAATGTTTACCGAACACCTATTTTACAGCTTCAGTGAAATGATTGATATAAATTTTATTACATGAATGACCTATTGAAATATCGATAACATCAGAACTGAAGTTTCATGAAATAAATTATGAAAAGGAATTGTCTTATAAATAAAACCAAAGTCAGGATGTATAGGTTTTACTAGAGAAGAAAAAAATATTACAAAAAGAATTAGAAATAATGAATCTAAGCATAACGTAATGAAATCGTTTATTAATTAGTCAATGGTCTTTTGTTAATCATCAACTCCAAACTTTCATCTTTTTATGTAAAACATTGCTTATGATCATGATAGTAGTTGTAGAAATTATATGTGAAATGCACACACACCTAGTTTATTTTGAATAATAATTTTTTTCTGAGCAAGAAGTGATTTTTCAGAAAATGGAAGAAAATACAGAGGACCAGTTCATTCTGAGAAATGTTACTCACTCTTGTTTTTTACTATTACTGAAATTATAATTTCTCAACTTACTTTTTTGCTTATTTTCATCTTTAATAAAAAATTAGGTAACATGAAAAAATATTTGATACATTTGTTAGGTAACTAAAAAAGCAATGAAAAATCACTAAGATTAGCAAGTAAAGGGCAAATACACTGCAATACATATAAAATTGGTATAAAAACATTCGAGTTCTTGAACGTGTCTAAGAATGATTCTTATAAATCTCGATCTACCTCACATAAACTATTATAGGAATGAACAAAATGCGGCGTATTAAAAAATTTTATGAACATTTCAACCCTATACTAATTCCTTAATCCACACGTATTATATGAATAAATTATAAATACACATTGGAGAAAAATCATTATAGTTGTTTATCAATATTCATCATGACAGGTACAACATACACGTTTCAGTAAAATCTCTATATAGATATCATTCCTTAGCTTGAACAAGCTTAGACTTGAGAGGGTTGTCGTTTGAAGGGGGCGAGAGCTAGCTAATTAATGAAAAAACAAATTTCAACAATTTTATTCATGAAACTTTTTTTATTCAATATTGAAATTTCACCAACCCCTGACATCGACGATTTCTTTATATTAAATTTTAAAATGAGTTTCATTATTTTATTTCATTTAAATAACATATATAATATTCTGTACTGATCGTTTAAATTTCAAATTAACTTGTTTGAGTATACTCACATTTGAATAATAAATATAATGGATAATTTACATGCCCATTGCCTTATTTATACCTGTGCTAGGGACAAGTGAATTTTTCTTTTTTTTCTGATTGGAGAATCCATATAGTGGAAGGTGTGTTCATGAAATTTCATCAGAGAATAGGAAATAAAAATGATTAATCTACGCCGCATTGTTCACACTTCAAATAGTATTTGAAATATGGTATTTCTCTTTCGAATAATTTATAGGTCCCATTAAGAAGCCAAGCAATATATCTTTTGCTGTCTTAGTATAAAATTACAATAATTTTCATAATATCAGTCGGAAAAAATAATAACTTTTCGATTGAAATGTCAAGTTTCTAGAGAAATAATAGTCTAATTTACGATCTAGGCTAATAAGTTATTGACTTTCTATACATATAAGACACTAAAATATCTAGTCTTAGGAAAAATTACTGAAATCGGTTTTCAACTTAATTGTTGGGGTATGACTAGGTAACTGTTGATTTATATTAACATCATTCTTGATTTTGCATTGATTAACTTGGCTACTTCTTATTGCATTTTCTAATTTCACTCTTAGTACATCGGACTGCATCATCAGCCTCTTGAATTCCTGAAAAACACAAAATATAAGCCTCAAATAATTCATGCCACTTTACTACAACTGAAGACCAGTTTTTAACAATTTTCCTGAGTAAGTGAAGGCTTCAGAACAATCGTAAAAAACAATTAAGGCATAATTGTTGAAAAACTATTATTGAACACATCAGAATTTTTCAGAATCAGTCGCAATGATGTTTGGCAATGTGCTTACGTAACATCCTATAAAAGAAATATAAAAAGACGCTCACCTGTGGATATTTAGGCCCTATTTTCATCAGCCATTGTAAACTAACTTCATGTAACGCTTGTACATACTTATTGGCATATGGAGAATGTGGATCTGTCGACAAGTAGCTCACCAAAACTGGCACCAATAATGTAAGCATTTGTATACCTAGTGAACAAAACAAAACGAGATAGTTGAAGTCAAAGTTAATGTTTATAAAGACAGGCATATTTTACACTTTGAATACCAAAGACAAAGACCACTACCACATCAAACAAATTTATGTTTACTATAAAGTACTACCACAGAAAAATTCTGTTTTGGATATTTCTACAATCATTTCAAAATCAAGGCAACTATTAACCACCCAAAAATGTAGCTACAAATTCACAACTCAGGCTTGTATCCAGAAGATATTTCTTTCCAACAATGCATTCATAGTTCAGCCTAGCTGGTGTCGGACACAAATGCTTTATTTTTGGGTTCTGGATTTACCTATCTATTTTTATGTTCAGTTAAAAATTCGATTCAACTCAGCGAAAACTCTTTTCTTGTATACCAGACATGTAATACTCTTCCCATACATTGTTGAGGTGTATGGAAGAAGTTTTTCTTTGAATTCATTCTATGCCAGAGGCTCAGTAAGACTATAAGCACTATATTTTTAAGCGACCAGTGCTTCCATGATACTCTGTATGCATAACATATTATATTGAATTTTTCAACAGGGATCAGTCACAATCAATTTCACTAGATTTGCCTCAACTGAGATTTTATGAGTTGCCTTAGTCGAATTATTTTGCCCCCACCCCTGTAGTTTCCCATGTTTCTAATACATTGAAACTTTACTAAAAACTCTATGGATTCAGAAGAACAGGATATTATATCACATATGTACATGGTGAAGCTAATGTAAGTGTTGTGTGCAATTAACAGTACAGGGCCTTTTTCACATACCTTGTAGTGTCTCGCCTGAACGCAATGAAAAGTATTCTTATTAAATCAAAATTATGACTTCAAAATAATCGCAGCTACAGTTTATATTTCCTAATGAATGATTCAAGATATTCATTTCTTACCAGACTGAAAATATACTCACATTTGTCAGGTTCAGCAAGTTCTATGAGGGATTCTACTGCCGTAATTGTTTCCACGGTAACTAAAAGTTCTCCGTCTGAGAAGGGTTTTTTGGCTGCATCTGAATACAAAAACTCCACAAGCTGAGGAGCTAACGTGTGGATATAAGGAGTAGAAATAGAACGGTCTGGATGCGCAAACAGGGATTTCAGAGTCCTAACACATTTCAGGCGTACCTATAAAAAATGACCAGTTTAAAACTTTCAACAACTCAAAACCTAAAAATTTATAAGACTATTTTCATCAACCATGTCCATATCTATAAGAGATCTGTTCGAAAAATAAGGTGAATGTTAAAATTTCGTGGGTTACATACATTTGATTAGCGATTGAAAAAAAAAATGTTGGTACACTCTTCTCGAACATATGTTCAAAGTTTCAGCTGTTCAACATGTTTAGTTTGTTGGTGAGAAACGTGAAAGTTAAATTTTGTGTAAAAAACGGAACTAAAGTGCTCAAAAACACTTGAAATGTGGACAGTGGCATACGGTGATTGTACTCTGAGTCAGAAAAATGTTTACAAGCAGTACAAACTTTTCACAGAAGGTCGAGAAGATATGAATGACGACGCTCTCCCTGGACGCCCTAGCATATCAATTATTATTATATGTTACCAGTTTCTTGTATGTTCGATATCGTCAGATTGAAAATAACAATGAATAGAATTTTATAAAAGACTATGGAGACTGTATATGCAATAATTAAAAAAAATCTATGTAACTCTTACCAATGAATTTGAATTCTCCAAGCACTGCCTGAAATGATTGATGCAAGGATACTGTAGGTTAGGAACAATGACAACTTCAGCAGGTGCGTTCAAAACAAAAACGGCAATGGCCAGCATCATAGTGACCTCGTCTAATTTGCTTTCGTCATTTCGAGTTTTGGCAAGATCGATTATTTTGGCAAGAGAACTCTGTAATAACTTTTGCCAATTATCACAGCTATCTGGATGTCTACAGTATCGATCCGTAGCAAGAACTTTCAAGCAGTGTAAAGCTGCCTGCACTGACGGATTATTCGCCAAAACATTGACATCGTTGATATTTTTTGTGGTCACTTCTCTGATCACTCCTGTAGTTAAATATAAAATAGTTGGCAAGATTGAAACTGCACCTTTTGGAGAACACAACCTGTGCAGGGCTTCCATGCAGGTTATGGAAGCTGCTAGTAACTGACTTGATTGCTGGCTAGATTGCATTACTCGCAAGGAATTGACAATCGTCGTATTTGGCAAGGGACTCAATGTTGGCAATTGACGTATTATAAGGCAAAGGCACACTTCCAAAATGGAAATGACGAGAGACTTCCCAGGAATTAGTTCGCCAATTTCTCCACCTTCACCCAACGTATCGACCAAAGTTGCACTTTCGCCTTCGTTCAATTTATTTTCCTTCTGTTTGTCAAGATGCTCCTGGGCAGCTTTTACCATTTGTTTCAATACCTCCAGACATAACAGCTGACAAGTGTGGTTATCCCTAGTCAGTATGAGCCGATGGAGAACGTTGCACATTTCAATTCCTAGTGAACTATCAGACATCAGAACTCCCCGTGTATATGACGTGTCAAGCAATGTGTATAAAGCGTTGAGGCACGTGATAACACTCTCTAACGGTTCGGTAGAACGTGGACTACAAAGTGCTTCCATACAAATACCAAAGAGAAGATGGAACCTGTCAGAAGGATTGTCATTAGTCCTATTATTGTTGATGATTTCATTGTTGTCATTATCAGTGTTCCTTTCGAAACTTCCTGACTTCAACCAAAGGGCGGCAGCATAAAGAATTGGAGGCCAAGACGAAGCATAATGGGGTCTTGAGGAGTCAATTGTTTCATTTGTGTAGAATGCTCCTCCGTCATGTGGTAATTGACTGGAGAATTCCCCAGGTAATGACAGCAAGGCGTGATCTTTCAATGCCAATTGCCAATACTGAGACAAAGACACCAATTCCGGCTGTACTAGAGTCAACAAACTCTCTCCTCGGCATTCAAACTCCGTAAATTCATTGTTATCAATGTCACTGGCAGTAGTCGTCAAATCTACGCTCTGAGAAGTATCATTTCCTTTCATAGCAACAATATATACTTCCGCCCAAGCCTTCAAAATCGACAGTTTCTCCAATGTCACTAAGCTTTCATTGTACAGTTGGCTGATGTTATTTTTATTTCTGAGTTTAGTCAAAGAAGACACAAGCAATTGATGTACCCGTCTCAAGTCATTGAGATCTCTGGCCACATTAGACCCAATCCAAGTGGAACAAACTTCACAAGCAGCAGCTGTAACCAACGAAGAAGTGTCTGGTGAAAAAGCTGGCCTCAAGGCAGCCCCAACTTGAGCCTGAAACTGTTCAAGAAGCAGGTGTCCCGGAAACTCTGGTTCAGGAACTTTGGCAAATTTTTCAATTATATCTTGAAGGGTTTTCAACCCTTCCAATCTCAACGGATCCGAATCACTTGTCGCTGCTATGAATGCCATTCTGATCAGGTCAGACAAATGCAGAGTCAAAAAGTCGCTTTTTCCCTTCGTCATCTGCAGTTCCTTTGCTCGAATCAAATCAAAGTGAGCCACTTTATTATTAGTTTCACAAGCTGATATAATTTTTCTAACACATTCTGCTGCAAACACCCTTGTAGGCCATCTTGGTTGAACAGCAGGGTGGGAAGAGTCTTCTTCTGCATGAAACTCAGCTTGATCGTCATCTGTTTCACCATTAACTTCTTCACCTTCATGGCCTGCTCCTCCCGAACGATCTTCAGCACTTGTTTCTGTGAAATCAAATTTGTATATATCAAATATGTATGTATATGTGTGTATAATGTATATATAGCTGTATGGTGACAAAAGAAAATTTGCAGCTTTTGTCAGTGAGACCTGAGGTTCTTTGAGTGATAAAGCATATTATTATTACTACTATTTGTTTGAATGTGGCTGACAATGTTTCTTATTGTTTCTGAAATCAAATGAACAGTCATGTGTACCAACCTGTAGCGACCGTTAGAACGTCTTTGCACAATCCCAACCACTGCGACAAGTTATCAGCAGCAAGCACTTGCAGCATGCTGATAATAGTATCGTGAATATCTTTTATCAGGCCCGTATCAGTTTCAGTGTCCAGCATACTGAAGAAGACACCTGGCAATCCGGTTTCTGTTATTGTTAAACCTTCTACATTGTTGTGCTCGCGACTTTCGCTTGCCAAGTTCATTGCATGCTCACAAACTTCTTTAGCCTCTCTTTGTACTAACTGTCGTAAACAAGATATGGCTGCTTTCCTAAGCAGAAGATGATTACTGGACAATGTTCTCTGCAAAGCAAATGATAATTTGTTATTTTATTCATTTATTTCATATACTTTATTTTCTAATAAAGATCAAATTTTGTTGACGAAGCCTACTAGGTGAACACAGGTTAAATGTACATCTGAATGAAATGTAAAATACCCGGGTTGACAGATTGTTAACTAGCTCCATCTCGTGAACAAAGCCCCAAGCGAGGAATAACATCCCATGTACCAATACTCTAACAGAGATCAAAACATGTCTGAAGACTGTATCGATAGGAGATACATACGTATAAGAAAATAAATATTTTGAAACATTCATATCTACACAGTAGGTTTTGGTAAATGCCTACCGGAAAACAACCACTTTTCCCTCTAATACCATGCTGATCACTGAATTATATCCGACAGACATTTAAGCAAGATACCTCACCGATTTCGAAATATTATCTGTCATCAGCGCAGTGGGTCGGATCTTTCCTGCAGTTCTTTTTTCCAGATTGTGGAAGGTGAAAATCTTCCGAAAGGCCATTAAAAAAAACTGATTTTCTCCACAAAAAAGACTTATGTTCAAAATTTATACAGTATCCAAAGATTTATATGTTGTTTGGTCAGCCCGTTGAATGAATAAATATATAAATATAAAAAATACTCACACAAAGTGTTGGTACAAGTGAAGACAGATTGACGTGCTTCGGTGCGAACAGATGAAGTTGCTGCAAACACCCAGTTGCCTCAGCTTGAACTAACGGATCGTGATGGTCTTGCATGATAGCACAAGCACACAAAAATGAAGACCTGGCAGTACATATAGTAGAGGTATTTCCCTGCAGTTCCGGCCCTATAGTCGTGATAAGAGCTGATAAAACTTTTCCAATACACTGGTGAACATCCATGTACGACTGTGGAACATTCAAAAGGAGCTTGAGAGCTAGTGACAGGCTGGGTTCCACGTAACCTCTAAACATAGGACCGCCGGAATCTACTATCAACGATAGGGCATGCAATGACCAAACTTGAACGATCGGTGAAGTCTGATCTTGCGCAAGAGCTAACAATATGGACACGCTTGTATTCAAATGCTGACTGGATCCCATCCCACCTACATACTTGTGTAAACAGCCCAGAGCCAATGAGTGGCCAGTTCTGCTTGCCACATCCCTGGCTGATTTCAGTCTGTCGAAGCTTGTCTGTGCCAGTTCAGCAGTGAATTTCGGATCAGAAACAACCTGGGCTATTCGGCCCACGGCCTCTCCTGCAGCATACCGCAGGATTGGATTGGGAGAAGTAAGCGCTGCTATAATTAGGCTAACGGCTGATTTCTTCACATCTTCTTGATTCAAGTTCACTTTTGTCTCAGTCAGTCCTTTCAAACCGCTCAGCAGAGCAGTGAATACGTTAATTTGAACCGCCTCTTGCCTGGTACTACGTACATGTTTTATACATTCAGCAAAGTGGTCGAGCATTTGTACACGGTGCTTGTTCGTAACTCTAGGGAAGATCTGGCCAAACAGAAGTACGGAGATATCGATGACCGTTACTCCTAATGGAAGAGGACCTGGTATTGTTTCATGCTACGTGAAAAAAAGGAAAATTAAAAGGCTTTCATATTTACAAGGCTATTCAAGTTCGAGACTACATGAAATTCTCTGAAACGGTGCGAGATGAGAGAGTTTGTCGAATTTGGAAAAAGTTGCCTATTTTAGAGTGATGTTGAATAGCGAAAATTACAGGGTATCGTCTGACTTCTGCCACCTTTACCTTTGAAATTTTGAATGTGGATCTATTTTTTGTTATTATTTAAATCGCCAATGTCATTTCACAATGTCTTTTTATCGTTGTCCTGATAACTGTAATATTGCAAAAATATCATACTTGCTAAGTTAACCTCTCTCAATTGTTATCTACAGGTCCCTAACAGTGCATCACAAATCTAATCTGTTCATTTAAAGTTCATATTTTTCCTGTATGAAGAATTGTACTCTTATTATCATTATAACATTAAATCCTATCTGCATAAATCTTTCACATTATAAATACTCTCCATGCAGTTCATGAATTTCAGTGTTGCAATATAAATCCTACCTGATTGACTTGTCGATAAAGACAACATGGGTCGTGTTCCAAAGCTCCAGAACCTGCAGCACTATTAGGTTGAAGCTTAAACATAAAAAAAAAAGGATTAGCTATCAAATTTCAAACATGAAAATTCAACCAAAAATATCAAGCAAGAGGAGCACGCAAACAAAAATCAATCAACGCTTTCATTTCAATCTACTCACATGTTCACCATCCCCTCTTCGATTAGGCTCCATCTGAGAAGAGAGGGCAAGGTAAATAATTTTGATACAACTCGTGAGAACCATGAAAAATCTACGTACTTCTCATAAAATAATTTCTTGTTTTCGTGGTTCTGATGTAAAACGAACCACAACTACACAGTATATTGGGGTACGTAATAGATGCCCGAGGTCTTTAGCTGACCTGAGACTATTCTCTATCATGTTTGTGGGCTTTAAACAGGCCTTAACTCCAAAAATTTTAAATTTATCCAAGATTGAATTTTAAAATACTATTCAATAGAATATATTTCAAATATGCCTGGTAATACACTGAGGAGTTTGTTTGTAACTATCAGAACACACTTTATTGATATAGGATAGATGAGGTGAGTTCATTATTTGTTGGAGACGAGAGTTTAAGAGTTTTAGTGTTAAACCTTGTATGCTACATATAGGAACGATACTGGCCTACTAATTTTCTAATTTTTGTGTCAGCTATTTGTCAGAGATCTCACAATAAGAAGCAGAGTTGAATTCAGAACAAACAATGTAATTGGCAAATTGGCATTTATGAAAGTACCAATTGATGCATGAATCATCATAGCCCAAAAACTTCTAAAATGTGTTTAAAAAGAGTTCATCAACATGAAAGTATATAATTAGTACCTCAGCAATGGAAAAGTAATAAAATAACTAACCTGATCTTCAATAGTTCTTTGATCAGTTTCTTGAAGCCAAGTTCCTAAAATAACAGAATCATCAGCATGGCATACAGTGCGAAGTTGAGAAGTGGTAGTATTTGCTGGATTCTCTGTCAAAGTGAATTCAGCGACCAACATTCTTAGCAAATGGGTGTAGGAATCTGTGAAGGAAAGCATTGAAGTATATTCAATTTTGAGAATATTGCTTCTTTCTTACTTTCATAACACTGTGGATGGAGAAGCAAAAGCGTTTCACATAGTCTTAGACGTACCATCGCTGCAGGAGCCTTCAGGTGTTGACCATAAGTTTTGAGGATCCCAGATATACTGAAATGTGTCAATTCAATGGTTTTATGAAAAAATTGAAAAACTTTGAACATTATTTATTTTTTAAATATTTGTTATTTGCCTCACACAATTAGTGCCCTTGTTGTATAGTAGTTAAATCATGTTTGAGCTTCAATATAACGGCTGAGGATGTTGTTATATAGAAGTATTTTACCCAAAATAATCATTTACTCAGATCTTAGCTTCCATCTTGTGTACACGATGTTCATGTTAATGAACCACAGATGCAGACTTACACCTTTCTGACTGGGAAAGTGCATGAACGGCCTTGCACACGGCGATATTATTTTAATAAATGTTAGCTTTGAGGTTGTTTACCATCTGTCATAATGCAGAAAAATACCACCCTTATGATAAACTAAGTCACCATTAATATATTGTCAAGTTGTCAACAGTACTAGTATTCATTTAAATATCAAATTGCTGCGGACATATATACAAATAATCAAACTGAATATACTTCATACAATTGTTTGAAGGTGATTGACAACGTTTCATGATGAATTTCATTGGTTCGGACTTCCATTGTCTAATATTATATATAATGATTTGAAATCCCTTGGTTCTTTTAGGAATTTCAAATCATTTTATATAATATTAGACAATGAAAGTCCGAATTAATGAAATTCTTTCTTCATTCTAAGCACATTTGGAAAATTTTCAAGTCAGATACCAATTTTTATCATTCTCTATTGTTTTACCAAAAACACTATTGTTGATTTCTTGATATTCCATTTTTTGTGGATTTGGTCGATACTTGAACATAAATCCACGAAAAAGCTATATAAAACAGTTTTAATGAAGAATGTTCAAACTTTTTTTTCAAAACTAGACTGATTCAAAACCTCAAAATAAATCTAGAACCGAAGCTTTGGGGTAAGTCTGTAAAACATTTTGAAAGTTATATTACACAGTAATATAATATTATAAAATGTCAATATAAAAATTCTACTCACTTAGTTAGCATGGCCAGGGCCGATTCAATTGGAGTGAGCAATCTTCTAGTGGTATCTTCATTCACAAGTTCCGAACAATTTTGCAGAAAGCTATGCATGGCTGATAGAGCTCCAGCTCTTCCTTCGAGAGTAACTTGCCATGTGAACACATCACCACGTGCTTTTTCAGACTCCAACTCCTTCGCCGATCTAGGAAAGGAATTCCTCCAGAGTAACAACATTCTGGGTAATAAACCCTTCACCACTGGAATACCCAGAGTCATTATAGCTCCTATAAGCAACCACCCAGCATGTGTCCTGTTCAAAGACAATCTGCTGTTCTGACTGGCACTCCTCAGAAGTTCTTCGGCAGTGTTAAATATTATTTTTCCCTTCATGTGAGGAACACCGAGAGGGGATAACTTCACGCCTCCTAGAACAGCAGCCAGTGCAGAACTGTAACCAGATATGGCTTCTGGAGAGGTTCTGAACTGTTCTATTCCATTCACACATCGATCGATAAGAGGAGAAATTTGACTAGGCACTGCTATACATATGCAACGTAAGCACCAAGCTGCCGCTAGTCTAGCCGCTTGGCAGGGATGAATCAACACGCTCATTGTTACATCTATCAGATCTGAAATTGAAAAAGCCTCGATTGTTTGAAAAGAAGAAATTAAAAATAAATAGAAAAGACATACAGGATACGTAATTTTTTTTTATTAAAATTATAACAACAGCGTACAGTTCAACATAGTTGAGACATTATAAATATAAAATATGTTGTTATTCTCCCTAATCAGCAAAAATGCTGGTCTCGGGATTCACAAACATTCAACATGACAAGTGAAACACAAAAACTAGTA